AGAACCATATGAAACTCAATTTTCCCCTATTTTTTGATCTACAAAAATGAACGTTAGCCAGGTCATGGTGGCGCAGACCTTTAATGCCAGCATTCGGGAGGCAGAGGCAGGCGGATCTCTGTGAGTTTGAGGCCAGCCTGGTCCACAAAGTGAGTTCTAGGACAGCCAGGGCTGTTACACAGTGAAAACCTGTCATGAAAAACAAACAAAATGAATGTTCTTTAGCTCAGTAACGACAGGGCTAATTGTTCCATGGGAAGGACCCATATAATTGCACACATAACACTTTCAGCCAGCTCAGTGCACATGGCTGAGTAGAGCATCTGGGAAGGCCCCTCCCAAATAGCAAAGGAGGCTCTCTCAAACTTCCTTTCTTTTTGCCATCTGGCTCCAGACTAGGTCTGATTAACCCAAAGCAATATGTCAAAGGCTAAAGGTCTCAGCAGACATCTGCATTTAACACTCAGTGAGGACGAGGTGAGGACAAAGGAAGGCAGACAAGAATCTAGTAGCCACAAGTACTACTTCCCAAGCCCTGTCCTGCTTATGTCTCTACCTGGGCTGTGACCTCCTTGTAGATTGGACACTACAGTCTGTCAAGCAGAAAAGCAACAAAGCTAACAGAAGTGAGCTCTGAAGAGCAAATAGAAGACTATTCTGACTCAAACTTTGGTCCCAGAGAGACCATGACACTTGAGGCAGATCAAACCTGCCTGGGGGCCAACTGTCGGCTGTGACACCCGGTTTGAAGCTGTGGACAGAAGAAACACAGTCATAAGGGTTCCAGACTTAGAACAAAGACTGCAGGGTCCTACAATGAACAATGTTCATGCTCCTGAGATTCACCTTATACACAGGGCATGACCAACGGAGACACTCTCCCACAAAAGAAAAAAAATATATAATTAGTTAGCAAACTCCTGGAAACAAAATGGGAGAAAAAAAAAATGGTGGGAGCAAGCAAGACACTGATATGGCCCTAAAGTCACTAAGGAAAAGAAAGAAAAAGCACAGTACGTGGCATGATCAAGTTCAACTATCTCAAGGAAGTCGGTCATGGTGGCACACAGGGGTACTTCAAAGAGGATCAAAGTCAGCCTCAGCAAGTCTGAAGCCAACACAGACTATACAAACTTTGTCTCAAAATAACAAAATAAAACATACTAAGGGCAGGGTGGCACATGCCTTTAATCAGCACTTCAGAGGTAGAGGCAGGAGGATCTCTGTGAGTTCCAGGACAACTAGGGCTATTGTCCTGATAAACCCTGTCTTGAAAAAAACAACAAACAAACAAACAGCCATACAAACGAAATCCCTCAAGACTGCCAAATGTGGTGTAAACCTAGCACTCAAAAGATCCTCACAAGTTCAAAGACATCCTGCTCTGCATACTGAGTTCAAGACCAGCCAGGACTACAGAGTGAGAGCCTATCTCAAACAAACTCACAGGATATCAGAAAGGGGACTGGGATCGAGTGAGAAAGCAACTTCCCTTTGAACAGAGCTGTTTCTCATGGGGTACAGGAGGTAAGAAAACAGATCCACAGACAAAACAATCTCATTTGCACACCTAGGTCTAAAGAGCGATCAATGTTACTTCCATTTTTGCATTATAGGACTTAGAACCTCAAATGAAAGGATGAAATGTAGCTCTATCAACCCAGCAGTAGGAAAGGAAAAAACAGACATTCCCAAATGAAAAACTTTTAGCCGGTTACCTAATCACAAAAGAAAAGAAGTATAATCAAGCCACCTACACTTCAATGCAGGAACAAACAAGACTGGGCACAGTCATACAGTGGAATATTACCAAGCTATAAAAAGGAATGGAATTCTGACACATGTTTCAAAAGTGTAAGACATAAAAGGCCACAGTTTTATGATTCAGCCTATGAGATACTTATACTAGGCAAACCCCTAGAAACAGGGTACAGCACAACCCTCCAGCACTAGAGGAGGGGAATAGGAGATCCTATTTAATGAACAGTTTCTATCTCAAAAAGTTTGGAAACAGAAGCCAGACATAGCAATCTACTCCTGTAACTGTAACCAAAGAAATTTGGGAAACTGAGTGCCAGGTCTGCCTGGGATATACATAGCAAGATCCCACCTCAAAATGAAGATCTGAGTGCTGGCGTGATATAATGGCAGTATGCAGTCCCAACAGGGAGGCAGAGGTCGAAGCATAACAAATTCAAGGCCACCCTTGTTATACAGTTAGAGCCTTCCTCAAACGAAGGAAGGCTGGAGTCGTAGGAAACAGTACTTGCCCCACATGTGAGATGCCCTGAGTTTGTTGCCCAGGGTTCAATCCACAGCATCACCAAAACCAGACCAACCGCCCCCAACACCACCCCACCCACGTGCACGCAGGAACACATTACAACTCCTATAGGCCATCAAAAGGAGAAAAATGGGACTACTTCAAACAATTTTTTCCTGGTTTTTCAAGTCAGGGTTTCTCTGTGTAGCCTTTCCTTGGCTGTCCTGGAACTGGCTCTGTAGACCAGGCTAGACTCAAACTGGCAGAAATCTGCCTGCCTCAGCCTCCCGAAGGCTGGGATTAAAGGTGTGTACCACCAAACCCAGTGACCATAAACTGTATCTTTTAAAAATGTATTTTGGTAATAATAACAATAATGTCAAAATACCATTCAATATATGATAGAAAATGCAAATTTTGTTGAAAGAGCTCTTCAATTGTGTGCGGTCTGGGGCTGATTTTCTACAAAACAGCATAAGTGTCTTGAAGGAAATCATGTGGCTGGCAAATCTGAAACATTTTGGGCTTTTCTAAGCCCAAGCCTGTCGCATTCATCCGGGACTCCCACTGGACCACTGTCGCCCTCATCCCACCTCGAGATCACTGTGGCTTCTGTCTGGAGAGTGCTCCCACCACATCTCAACCACCCAGATCACACCCTGATCTTAAGCATTACCTCGACAGTAGTCTCCCATAGCTACCTTGTAACTCTCTTATCTCACTGTATTTTATTTGACATGTCACTTCTTCTGGATTTATTGCCGTTCCCTTAGAGTTTAGCCCAGTGCCTGACTTACAGGAAGCATCCAGTAAACGATGAATAGTCACTGGATATCAGCACCACGAGTACAACACAGACAGGACACGCACAGGCCTTACTCTGGCGTGTTCAAGGGGCATGCACGAGGAAGTCCCGCGAGAGCCTAGAGGTGGGGAAACAGCCTGTTACTGCCTCGGATAGCTCAGTTTGACCATTACGTGGATGTAGGATAGGTACTGGGGCAGGGCATGGCTGGGACAGAGAACGTGTGGAACCTCAGGCGTGGCAGTATGTTTGGCTCTCTGTGACTGAGACACTTCAGCTGCCTGTAGCAAAGGCACGGCCATGATCAGCTGGCGAAACAGACCCTAGCATACATTCAAGAATCCCTCAGACATAGTTCCAAAATCCCAACACTTAGGAGGCAGAAAGAGATGGATCTCTGTGAGTTCAAGGCCGGTCTGGTTTACAGATCTACACAGTGAATTCCAGGACAGCTAGAGTTATGGAGAGACACCTTGTCTCAAAAACAAATACATACATACATACATAAATAATAAGAGAGTAGGGAAGTGGTGGCGCATGCTTTTAATCCCAGTACTCAGGAGGCGGAGGCAGGCAGACTCTGTGAGTTTGAGGCCAGCCTGGGCTACAAAGTGAGTACCAGGACAGGCTCCAAAGCTACACAGAGAAACCCTGTCTCGAAAAAGATAAATAAAATAAATAAACAAACAAACAAATAAATATCAATCAGAGAGAGAGAATGGACTCCACAAAGTTTTCCTCTTCTCTCCACATGAACACCATGGCATGCAGCCATCCCAAACAATAATGAATATTTGAAAGAATTAGTAATTCCAAAAAAGGAGGGAAAGGACAATAGGGATGAAATCTAACTCAGGTAAAACTTGGAGCAGAGGCAGGCAAGTGGTCCCTCAGAGCTCTAAAGGTTCCATCACCATGACAACATGAAGGCAGCATCAGGGCAGGTTTCACCAAGCCAACAGTCCCTCAAAGAACTCAGCTCCCATGCTGGGCCAGTGGCAGCTCTGGTTTCCTTGAAGTGAATCAGGCGGCCTTCTGGAGAGCTAGGCTGCTTACAGCAAGACAAAGCCTTCAAAGTAAACCTCAATCCTATAAGGGAATTCCTGGGGATCAAAGACACCAAAGAGGGCTAACTGAGGAATGGATGCCCTCGCCTCCAACTGCACCCCCATGTAAGGACCAGGAAGAAAGGAGGGCTTATGGGTTAGCTAGCTTTGCTCTGTCTCCTGAGTCTGGGGCAAGCCAATACACACCTACCTCTCTTCAGCACCCGAAATAATTAATCCTCCTTGCCTCAAGCCTCCAGCACTGGTACAGCCAGGAACCCAAAGAAGCCCAAACGCTTTTCACAGGCTGGTCTACATTCCTCTCCTAACCACAATCCATGAGGCACAGCCTCCAGGCGAGGGCACTTGAAGCCTCAAGGGTGCTTTACAGAACTCCAAAGCTCACATGAAGTATAGCAAAGTCCCTTCGCTGTCCTCAATCAGAATGAAGACTGTCGGCCGACCTACCAGACCAACAGGTTTCAAGAACTACCTTCGCTGTTAGGCTTCACACACACACACAAAAATGACCCCTCCGCTGGCGCCTCACGGGCGCCCCTTCTGCAGGCCCCTCACGACCCATTCCACTGCCCGGCACGGCCAACTCCGGGCCGCAGAGACAGCAGCTCCGGCTCACCCGCCATGCCCCGCCCCGCCGCGCCGCTCCTCGCCTCGCCCCGACCGCTCCTGTGTTCCCAGACAGGCCCGACCCTCACCTACAACCGCCGGCAGTCTCACCTGGAGTCCGGCTAGTCGCTTCCCGGTCCCGGCCCGGCCGACCCTGGGACCCGGCGCTGCTCCAGGCGCCACGGGGGCGGGCCCCGCGCCCATCCTCGCCATGGCAACGCGACACTTCCGGCCCGAGGTGTCCGGAGCGGAAGCCGCGGTGCCGGGTGGGAGTCCTGGGCAGAGCCACTCTATAAGAGCGCCCTCCAGAGGCGGGGCTAGCCCCGGTAGACGGGTTGATACTGTGGAAAGTTTTTTATGCTCTTTCTGTGGCACGAACATCCTGGTGTCTCGAGTGCGGCGGGAAGGGCAATTGTTCAGGTGTTCCGGAAGGCTGATCTCTTTCCTGGTCTTTGAAAGACGGGTTGGAGTCTTTCCTTCAAAGCAGAAGCGTCGTTATTCGAAGGAGCGAGCAGTGTGTCCCAGAGGAGGGGCGGGCAGCAGTTTGGATGTTGGTTGGGCCCTAGGACACTGTGTTTAGGGAGGAGCAGCCAGGGAGCCAGGCTTTAGCCTGGAAGCAAGACAGGACCAGTGGGAAAGGGAGATCTCAGACTTGTACAAGAGAATGATTTTTTTGCTGAATAGGGCTGAGGCCGGCGTTGTTTGCCTGGTAGGACACAGGAACCCTCAGCTACGGAAAACAGAGGGCCGGGAGGTGATAGGATTCCAGGGGAAGGCAGATAAGGGCTGAAAGAAGAGCCTGGGATAAGATCCTAACCCAGCCAGGGGTAGAATAGTTAGGAGAAGAGAAGTCCCACTGTGTTCATCCTTCACGTGTGCCCCCGCTCCCTCAAGTACTCATGACGGTGCCTTTCTTGGCACCAGCAAAGGTCTCGATCCAAAAGGTGGATTCTCAAAGTGTTTAGTGCTGATGTCAGTCTGGGACCATTGGTTTCCGGTATCAACTTCTGCTCTCAGTGCGGTGATTCAGACCCTCATTGCAAACCTCCCAAGGTAGTAGCCAGGAGAACTTGGGTAACATTTAGAACATAAATGGTGACTGAGCCCAAGGGTAGATAAACCAGTTAGATGTCCAGGAAGGAGTAGGGCCCAAATGGGATCCTATACCATACTCCTGGAAAAATAACAAGTCTCTCTCCTCGTGCGTTAAGAGGACAGGCTCTATGCCTTTTGGGCCCAGGAAGTCGTCCCTCAATCCATCTCCTCATCTGTCCGCCCCCACCCCCCATCAAGTCCCGGGTTGTAGACCCCCTACATGGCTTCTTTTGACTACTTTGTCTTGAACTCTAGGGAATTCCCCATGTCCCTCAGGGTAATTTGGCTGGGGAAAGTCACTTCCCATCTGTTAAATGGGAGCTAGGGACCTGACCCCAAGCAGATAAGGTATGGGGGTAAACTTTTGTCAAGGGCTTTTCCTTCAGGTCATAGGGGATGCCCAGGCACCGAAAGGCAACCTGGGAGTGGAGACTGATCTCAGGAGCCCACCAAAAGTCCCTACGGGAATCTTTTCTGCCCTTCCCTCCAAGATTAACTGAAACCTGCTAATTGTGGCAGCCCTTCACATGTTCCCCTCCCCCACAGCCTCTTCCTCCTCACTCCTCCCCCTTCCATCAGAATGATAAAGAAAGGGATTGGCCTGCCTGTCCCAGCATGGCCTCAGGCTGGGACCCCACCTCTACTTACAGGCAGTCTGCCCTGAGCCCCCTGTTAGGTCAGACCCCCACACAGGGCCGCTTTCCTTGCGTGATGTCTTGCAACACCTCTCATCAGAGGCCTCCAAAGGCAGAGTCTCCCCCCAAGAGGAGGAAGAAGAGATACCTGCGACATGACAAGCCCCCCTACACCTACTTGGCCATGATCGCTCTGGTAATTCAGGCAGCACCTTTCCGCAGGCTGAAGCTGGCCCAGGTGAGAGGATCCCTCATGCTGGTGGGTCATACCTATCCCAGGCTCGCTCGGCCTCTACCTAGTCCACTCATCCTTGCCAGTGACTCAGGGACTCTGTTCAAGACCCTTCTTCCACAACCCCCACCCACTCTGCTGCCCTCAGGCCCAGAGGTCTGTCTCCCTGAGAAGAGGTGCCCTGCTGCCGGCTGTCGGGGGGGAAGGAGAGGGCACTACTACCCCTGGCTCACCACGCCAAACACTGCCTGGTTTCAGATCATCCGTCAGGTCCAGGCAATGTTCCCCTTCTTCAGGGATGACTACGAAGGCTGGAAGGACTCCATCCGCCACAACCTTTCCTCTAACCGGTGCTTCCGGAAGGTAGGGTGGTCTATGATCAAACTCTGGGAGCGGGTGTGGACACGGAAACCCTGAACCTCTGGGTGGGATAGCCACACCCAAGCCAATCACTTTCTAGGTGCCCAAGGACCCTGCAAAGCCCCAGGCCAAGGGCAACTTCTGGGCGGTGGATGTGAGCCTGATCCCAGCAGAGGCGCTGCGCCTTCAGAACACTGCCTTGTGCCGGCGATGGCAGACCCGGGGCACACACAGAGCTTTCGTCAAGGACCTGAGCCCCTACGTGCTCCATGGCCGGCCTTACCGGCCGCCCAGTCCCCCACCACCATCTAGGGACGGTTTCAGCATCCAGTCCCTGCTAGCGGAAACGGGGAAAGGATCAACATGGCCCCAGCAGCCTGCGCTAGCTGGACAGAGCAGTTCAGCTCAGGCAGGTACCAGATCCAAAGGGGAAGAAGAGATGTGTACTGCACCCCGTAACTCCACTGAGAAGCCTCTGTGGCCCCTCTGCTCCCTTCCTGGGCCCACAAGAATAGAGGGGGAGACGTCCCAAGGGGAAGTCATCAGGCCTTCTCTTTCCCCAGAGCAAGGCACCTGGCCAGTCCACTTACTTCAGGGTTCCCAAGATCCCATGGGAATGTCCAGCAGGGGGTGCAGAGCTTCCCTGTGGGGACAGCTACCCACTTCTTACTTGCCCATCTACACTCCCAATGTAGTAGTGCCCTTGGCCACACTACCTCCCACCTCTTGTCCCCAGTGCCCATCTTCAACCAGTCCAGCCTACTGGAGTGTAGGTACTGAGTCCCAAGGATCCCCAGACCTGCTCTGTGATCTAGATTCCCTCTTCCAGGGAGTACCACCCAACAAGAGCATCTATGATGTGTGGGCCAGCCACCCTTGGGACCTGGCTGCTCCTGCCCCCGGCTGGCTGCTCTCCTGGTACAACCTGTAATAGTTCAAGGCAGGCAGGGGCTGCTTCTCCCTTCTACCCCTGGGTACCATTTTGATGGAGACCAGACCTGGGAGCATGTCCACAGCAATAGCTTTAAAACACCAGGCACGGCCTTGCTGAAAACCCACAACTTTAATTGGCTACTCCAGAAAGGGTTTTGCCTCTGCTAGACCCGGCAGGTCTGGCCAATCACTCTCCCACACACAGGGACGGGATCTGGAGAAGCAGTCAGCCTAGAGTGGTGCATCTTCTCTCTATCCCACTCTGTCATGCCATCCATCTAGCCATCTAGCCATCCCTCTGTCACCGCGCCTTCTTGGCTCCAGGCTGGGGGAGGGCGAGCCAAAAGTGGGTCTATTCTGAAGTCTTCCCCCCACCCCTCAACTGCCTGGATAGGAGGTAGCACCTTTTGGGAAAAGGGTTAGAAAATGAAATCTGGACCCCACATGATTTGGGGTGGTGGAAGTAGGGGAGAGATTAACAGTAAAGGAATTTACAAGGCTTTAATTCCAAGTCTGATAATTGGGGGCAGGGTGGTGAGTTGGGAAACCACTTGGTCTGGGGTCTGGTTCCTGCAGCTCCGGATCCCCTGCTGCGGACTGTGATAAGGGCAAATGGTGATAAGGTGAGAGCTGAGGGCCTGCGGCCCAGTTGGGGGTGGAAGGGTGGAGGCAATCCTTTCTCCAAGCGCGACATTCCCTGACCAGATCAAGAAGGCAAAGGGGAAACTGTAGGACTCTGGGGGCCAGCTAGGGCCTGAGTTGGAAAAAAAAAAAAAAAACAAACAACTAAAAAGGTTGATTATAGGAACTTCACTGCTGCCTCTGCCAGCAGAGGTATGTTCCCATCCCAAGACCAGTCAGTCCTAAGGGCATTGACCCAGACCTACGGAGGCAGGTCCCCTGGAGGCTCTAGAGTCAAGCCAGAACAGCAGTTGGGGCCGGGACTTGGAGGGCTGCCAGGAGATGGTGTAGGGGTGCAGGAAGTCCCAGTGAGCGGGGTGTCAGTACTGAGAGAAGAAGGGGTTCCAGAGCGTGGGGCCCTACGGCGCCGGGCTGGTCCCAGTTCCACTTGACCCACTCGCTCGGCGAACTTGAGCGAGCAGATCGTCTCCCCGAGATCTTCGGTCCTCGTTGAGATCTGCAAGACAGGGACACTGAAACATAGCTCTAGTGGGCAGTGCCTCAGGCTTGAGCCAACCCAGGGACCCACCTGCAGCAGCAGCACTGCGGTGGTGCCGGCGCCAAGCGCTGGCTGTAGCAGGCGTGTAAGCTGCGAGTCTCGGAAAGGTATGTGCGGCCGCCGAGCTCGGAGCGCGGCCATCACTCCTCCTAGCGCCAGCAAAGAGCGGTTGATTGCCTGGGCCTCCCGCAGGCGCCGGGCGCCATTGGGATCTCTCGGCAGCGGGCTGGCCACCCCCGCTTTCCACACACGCTCGGATCCTGCCAGGTCCACCAGGTGCAGTGTGCCTGCAGGTTCAAATGAAACCGATGTGGATGGAGACCTCTAGTTAACTGGAAACCCAGCAGGACTTAAATTAAGCACAATCTGTGGTACCTGTGCTACCCTGGGCGCGAGGTGGAGACGCTGAGCGCAAAGTCAACGTAACTAGGGCGTGGGAGCGTGAGCTGTGCTGGTTCATGACAGTAGCTGCCGTAGCTCGGTTGCTCCTCCCCAGACTCAGCATCTGGAGATATATGTGTGTATCAGGTGTGTGTGTGGGGGGGGGGGGGTGTCTCTGCCCCAGGTGGAAGCAGACAGGGGCCCTGAAGAAAGCAGCCTTACCTGGTGCAGGGTTTCCAGGTTAGGGACGTCCCAGTGCGTGAGGCCAGCCACTTGAATTCCCCCCTGCCCTGCAGGTCCCTGCCTCACAACCAGGCGCTCTGGAGGCCCTGTAGCTAGGAGGTCCCTGGTAAGAAAGGGTGGGTTTGGTCTCTGGGCTCTAAATGTGGCTGCAGAACCCTGGGGCAAGGAGAAAGCCGCCCACGCATCCCTGACCTGACTGCCTCGTTGTAGATCTCCACCATGCTGAGGGTCACATGGTGGTGCCCTCCAGTCCCCATCTCCCGGAACAGCAACTGCAGTGCCCTAGGAGCTATGCCAGGGTCCTCAGGTGGGCCCTGAGGACAGTGTGCAGTTGCCACATTGGACTCTTATACAAACCCCCGAGGCTTCCCACCTCCCACCCCCAAGTGTGAACTCCAACCCACCTCCATACTGTAGGTTTTCCCAGTCCCAGTCTGACCATAAGTGAAGATGCAGACACTGTACCCCTGGAGGCAAGACAGCACTGCTGGCTCTAGCTGCCTGAAGACCTAGGGACAAAAAAACGGGCGGGAGAAGTGTCCTTAGCTCTTCCCTGTTTCCCTAGTCAAGACCTGAAAGGGCAGTGGGTGCAGTTTACAAGATGTGGGCAAAGTGTAACTCCCCTGATAAGTGGCTCCCCTTCCTTCCTACAGCAGGTGCACCAGGAATTAGTGGGGTAGGGACACAACAAAGCTGACACTCTGGGAGAGGATGTAGAGTCCTAGAGACCAGTTAGGAGGTCCTGGGGGCAATGGTCAAGGGCTTAGATGCCAGGGCTGGGCTTTCAGGTTAAAACCTGAGGCAACTAGAAACCAAGTACTAATCATCTTTTCTACGCTTTTCCAGGTCATTCCTCTATAGCAGCTAATGGGAATGTGTACTGGAGAACCTGAGTAATACTTAACAAGAAAAGAATAAACCTAAACAGGGAAGGGTGGCGCACACCTTTAATCCCAACCCTCAAGAAGCAGAGGCAGGCAGATCTCTGTGCTCAAGGCCAGCCTGTCTACATAACTAGTTCCAAGCCCGCCAGAGATACACAGTGAGACCCTATCTAAAAAAACACAACAACAACCAAAACGCAGCCTGAGCTACAGATCTACAGAGTGAGTTCCAGGACAGCTAGAGCAACACAGAGAAACCCTGTCTCAAAAAATCAAAGATAAAAAAAAAGTCAAGAGGGCCTCTGTGAGTATAGAGGGTAGTCACCTGGGCAAGAGACAGAGAGACATGGGGCCATGGGGCTAAAACATAGTGCTGGACAGAACTGTTGTAGACACAGTTAACAGCCTTGAGTACCTACTTGGCCATCTTTCATATTAGAAGGTCCCTAGAGATTGAGCAGCTGTCGTTTCCATTTCTCTCTCTCTCTCTCTCTCTCTCTCTCTCTCTTTCTCTCTCTGTCTCTCTTTCTTTCTTCCTTTCTTTTTTCGAGACAGGGCTTCTCTGTGTAGCTGTCCTGGAACTCACTCTGTATACCAGACTGATTTTGAACTCACAGAGACCCGCTGGCCTGTGCTTCCCAGGTGTTGGGATTAAAGGTGTGCGCCACCACCGGCTGGTGTGGCTGTCATTTCTGATTGATGTTTTGATGGATGATCATATAAACGCAGTCTAGAATTGCCAGAGTGAGGATGAAAAGTTCAGAACTGGGTGGTACAAAAATGAGGGACACTGGTGAGGACTTCCTGAGAGATACCTTTGGTACAGTCTGGTAGACGAGGACCCAGTCCAGGCTGCCCAGAGTACAATAAAAGTAGGGAGCTGTGTATGGCTGCAGTTTCGGGTGGGAGATGAGGCCAGGAGATGAGAAGTCAGTCAGTGGTGGGTCTATCCCAGCCAGCCACTACATAACACCGTTTCTGAGACCAGCGAGCAGTCTGGGTCTTCATTGCCAGCTCTGTCCCTTACCTAATCCCTTCTCAGCTCTGAGCCTCCACCTCAGTCCCAGAGACTCCAGCAGCACAGTTTCTGTGCAAATGGAGACCATGTGTGAAGCAAGTTGGGGTAGACTGCTTTTCCACTGATGTCGGGCCAGAAAAGAGGGAAGAGTAGGATTGACTGGAGCAGGTAGTGGGGGAGAGCACTGGGGCTGGCAGCTGCCCTGCTAGCTCATCACCTATGCTCCCACCTAACCTGCCTTAGGGCCACAAAGCAACAAGTTCTGCCTTCACTGATGGGTAGAGCCTGGATCATAAGAAGAAGCACACGGTGTGTCAGTGAAGCCACGTCTTCACCACTGTGGTACCCATCCACGCCTGCAGCCCTTTCTACACAAACAGTAACTCACCTTGGACAGGCTTATCTTCCTCAGCGCTCAGCTGGGAAGCCACTCCTGCCTTCAAGGGTTTTCAGCGGCTCCCTTCCCTGACTGACAGAACCCAGCCTCCCACCTTTTAGGTACTCAGGCAGTCATGGAAGAGGGAACGGGCCTCTTTTGGACCCAGGGGACTCTGAGGAAGGGTCAGAACAGATGTAAAGGTGGCTGTCACCTCCTCCTGGCTGGCATCTGGAGGAAAGACCCAGTCCAGACGAAAGCGGTGCTGGCGCCCTCGGTAGCAGGTGGTGATGGTCCCCCCTTGTCCAGGCTCCACGCTCACCAGGCTAGAAGGTATTCCTTCGGCTGGTCTCAGCCGACATAGCACACGGATATTCCCTGCATTGGGGACCACACCAGCAGATTGGCTCCTTAGCCCTGAAACGTGGAGAGCTCCTCTTCTTCCATCCTGTAGTCGTCGCTGCTCCACTCCCAAAGCCAATCTTACCCTTGAGTTCCAAAAGCCGCCCTGAGCATCCAGTTGGTGGTCCCTGTTGCCCCTCTGGGAGCTGAGTCCTAGCCCCTCCAGCTGACAGAGCCCCAAGGGCCCAGGATACCTGTGAAGAAAACAAAGACAGGTGCCCAGGCAATGTCAAGTGAAGTGGGGTGTTGAGAGCAATATGACCAGCTGTGGTGCCATACAACTTTCAGTGGGTATGGACCACTGTGGGCATCATTCAGTGAATCTGAGATAGACTCTAGGAACATAGACAAAAATATTCATTCATTCTCTCATCTATCCTTCCAGGTTTCTCAGCAACTGCCAGTTTTCACAGCCTAGACATGAGGACACAGCCAGGCAGCAGTTGCACACAGCATTAACCCCCCACACTCGAGAGGCAGAGGCAGCCAGATCTCTGAGTGCAAGGCCAGCCTGGGCTACAGAGTGAATTTCAGGACAGTCAAGGAGACATAGAAACCCTATCTTGCAACCATTACTCCCTACCCTGCTGTGGGAGAATTGTCTGTATTCTGTCAGTTGTGTATTTTAATAAAACGCTGATTGGCCAGGCAGGAAGTATAGGCAGGTCAACCAGACAGGAAGTAGAGGCGGGACGAAGAGACTGGGAGTATTCTGGAAAGCAGGAAGCTCCCTCCGCAGTTCTGCCCAGACCACCAGAGAGGAAAGATGTAAGGTGCCCCGCTGGAAAAGGTACTGAGCCATGTGGCTAACATAGATAAGGATAATGGGGTAACATAAGTCATAAGAACTAATAAGTAGCCTGACCTAATGGGCCAATCAGCTTTATAACTTATAGAGATCTCTGTGTGATTGATTTTCTTTGAGACTTGCCGGCTATGGGGTACCGGGCGGGACAGAAACCCCAACAAGCTGGCCCTCATGCTACATATGGCGCCCCCCCCAAAAAAAAAAAGAGATGAA